AGCACTGACGTCCTTTTTCTATTGATACGGAAGCTCAAGAACTTTTGTGCCCTGTTGCGGCCTTGTTGCGGGATTCCATGACTTCTTTTTCAACGTTGTATTACACTTCACTAACTTCTTCTGGAACACGCAAACTTTATAAAATAGCCCGTCCACATCACAATTTGCGATCACGGTTCCTCTGTACGCTTGCATTTTGGCATTAAAGGAAGAAGCTAGATGGCACGGCAAAACAATTGTTGACTTTTTCTGGCAGGCGCAGACATGGAGATACAGCTCAATATAAATAAGAAGGTCTCGTACATTCCCTCCACATCAGCGCAAGACTAGAAGGTACCAACCCAGTCAACACTGCTGAGATACTGATTGATTAACTGAAAGTCTGCTTTACTGAAGTCCTGTTTCAGTATAAATCCTTAAGCTCGAAGTCTCTCAAGAGATTAAAGCAGAAAAAATGGTCGTTATTGCCTACTGGTGTGGCAGTGCAAACATCAAATTAATGCGAAGTGTTGCATAGAAGCAAATCGAGAGTACGTTCTCCCCTGGTTTTGGTTGTGGCTAATTGAGTGTTATTGTGAGCAACAATCATGTCAAAAAACGACTTAGCCGAAGCGAAATCGGTGAAGCGTTGCCCCTCCAATCCCTTCAGTATAGTTGAAGTCACCCATTAGCAGACAGACGCTGTCACTGGATGAAAGGTCATTTATACATTCAATCAATTCTTCATTGAGCTCTGAATTACACCTTGAAGCCCTATACGCTACTATTAATCCATGAGTGCCCGTGCTCGAATTGAGATTGGATGAATGAATCTCGTACGCTTTCGGAAGCTTCCACGGAAGTTAGCACCGGGAACAGATAACGTTGATTCATCAAAGCTACTCCGCCGCCTCAAATTTTTAGCCTGTCACATCTGAACGTTTCATAGGGTGAACAGAGTTCACCTAATAAGGGCTCACGTTTACTTTTCAGCTTCAGTCAGGGCCACGATATCACTGCCCAATGCGGAAGGCAAATACTTTAGACATTGAACATTACTATGAATAGAGCGAATGTTGCTCAAAAGTCAATGAATAACATTACCCGCAGACCGCGGAAAAATTACATGTTTCCAAAGGTGAAAGAGCAGAGAAAGGTAATGCAGAATCGATGACAGAGGCCTTCCCTAGACCTGGTGAAGGACTCGTCTGAATGGGCGCAGGGCTTATCGATGTAAGGGAGGAATTGACAGTTTTTCAGTAACAGCGTCATTAAGTTTATGAATAGTTCCAGAGGAAACAGTGGAATGTCTCACGCCTTCACTAGTAGCCTTTCTGAGATTCCTCCTTTCACGCAGGCGAATTCTTTCAGGTAAAGGAATAGGAGACCGTATGGATAGATCACGCACGGGAAAGTTTTTCAACAATAAAGCACCGGATAGATTGTGTTTCTAGAAGAATGAGCTAGGAAGAACAATTCAAACTGAACAGCATAGTGAGGATTAAACTTTCCTATCCTACAGAAAGTAACTAGAGATCACTCAATATTGAGAAATTGAAAAATGTTCTTAATACAGTCGGAAGGGATAGGAAATTCTTTGCGAACATCAGTGTTTTCTATTTCAGCGATGCCGTGAATTACTATTGACTGATCACTTCAGTTTCATCGCAACAAGCATGACTATTATTAACAGAATGGCAGTCAGAAGACCTATTAAAACTGGATAACAAAGTTCTTGAACTTCTTTACAGACAGAGCCTGCTCAACAGAAGCAATTTTTTTGTCTGAGCATTTTCCGTCTCAGCTTCTAGGCGCGGAGACTACTTTTGCGCGCCAGCTTCTCCATTTTAGGGAGGTGCGGTGGTAAGACGTTATCCGCATTCAATAAAGCGATCCCGTAGACCAAAGCACCGGTTCCGTCATCGTCGCCTGGCGTAGAAACAGGGGGCTTTCTCTTGACCCTAAGCTCGTAATTGCCACATCGAGAGATTGGAGTATCCATCAGTGAAAAAGAAGAAAGAATAAGAAGGTTACAAACGAACTTCGAACCAATTAGAATTCCTATAGCAAAAAGAAACAGTAATAAAATCCGAAGGGAGCCTCACGATGCTATTAAAACCACTGAATGACTAAACGGTGGAGGTGCCTTTATCTTACGGTGAAGTTGGCCTCGCCGCAAGTGTTGTCGCAGTGGAAGATCGCAGAGTGAGCTCACGGCGCTAACCAATATCTCGATACAAAGAATGTTGACCAAGGGACGAAAGTTGATCGCCTTGTGAAAAAAATGTATAGTAGCAAACAGAATATGCTGGCTATGGTCGGGACCCAGTACAAGAGCTGGTTTTAGGGATACAGGCACTTGAATGCCCGGAAATACGAGATAAGGTACTGTAGGAGTGCTAAATCAATGTCTAGGAACCACCCCGCAGAACGCAAATTAATGCTTTGATTGCGCAGTTGTTACGTGATATTGTTCGAGCCCGGTCTGTTTTCAGGACAACAGCGAAACAGCTTCATCAACGTCTCTCCGTTCACGAGGTAACACTTCTCTCAATCATCGCCATACGTCTCTTGTGGTTATAGCTCGCTGTTATGAAAATGCTTTCGATGCTCCATCGCTAGGGATACTCAGATCGCCATGAATAATTTCAACAATGTGAAAATACATGCATTAATTGCCCAGCGATAATAAGTAAGCATCTGCGCTCATAATGGAGGTATAGACGTTTGCTTAACACCCATCATCCATGTCGACATCTGCTCTACCCGCCCATTCTCGTCGACTGGTTCCGAACAAGATCATCAACCTCCGCATCACTAGCACAGTCTGAACTAGCTAACTAGCTTCCTGAACTTTCGATCAGTGTTTGGCCTCTATAGATTATAGCTCACAAATTCTCCCTGGGACCACCTCCTCAGGGAAGACGAGCCACCCAGGCGTACTTGTTCAACGCGCCATTAATGAGCAACCACACATCTCGAACTATTGTGACAACAGTCAAGGTACTATAATTATGGCTTGCCAGGCCGAAAATAAAATATGGGAAGTATAAAGCTGTTGGTGTCTATGTCCTGCCCTGACCATGTCATTTTCCCTTTGACAAGATACGACGGAGTAGCTGTACTGGCAAAGTATGTTCAACCATATCACATCATGTGCCCCTCATTACATGATATCGCTTCGAACTGACAGCTCGCATCAAATGGAAGTGGCAAATCATTTTTCCATTCGTTTGGATGTTTTTCACCAGCCAACATTTGCGCTGTCTATGAATCTCACTAAGGAAAGAGAAGGATCCGCAACAAAATTCCTTGCAGTACACTCTCCATACTATGCTCGTCAAATTGCCCACACATAGTTGCTCACACACAGTGAGATCTCATTTTTCAAAAACAAATCTTGAGCTGAGGAATGATGTAGTTAGTTGTAAAGTAAGGGAATGTTCGCAAACAATTCTATTTTGCGGGTAACAATCGCAACCAACTCGTAATGATTGAATCCACTGATACTGCAGGATGGTCTATCGAACGGGGCATAAACTTGTAAATAACATCTAATATTTGGTTGCTCATTGAGGCCAACCTAACTCGTCTGGTTGGAAAACATGAACATAAGGCGCCTAACGGATTTATTGCAGGAAATCAGGTGCAAATTGCG